ATAATAGAAATCGAATCTAAGACTTAAGACTTAAAGATTTCAATTCTAGAAACAAAAATTAAGAATTGAAAATTAAGTTGCAAATATATAGAAAATTAAAAATATTATAGAATTTAGAAATATAATTTGATTATAATATATTAGTTTTTGAATTTTTATTATTTAAATTTCAAATTCTCATATCGATAATCTGTTTTTTGATATTTCGTATATATCATTATTCTCAAATCAAATAATAGATCATATTATTATTTAATATCAGAAATCTGTTTATTTATTTTTCCGTATTTATCATATATTTATCTATTTCATATAAAATAAAATAAACCTATAGAAGAAATATTTTATAATCTATTATATGAATATGATAAAGATATATAAAATTATGAAATTCATATCTAAATATAAAGAACTTCCTCCTCTAACTGAGATCCTCTTTGGTTGATCATAATTGGAAGTGGTCCTTTGTAGTGGCAATAATATGAGAATCTTTCTTTCGTGAATACCTTAGCTTAGTTTCTTGTACCAGGGATCATGTCGGGAATCATTTTGCCGTGTATAGGGTGACGTTTTCGGAGTCCTACGTCCCATTTGCGTCTTAACCTGTGGAGACAATGTGGGTGCCCGTCCGTTTGCCAATAGGCGACTCTCACTCACTACTCACTCAGATGCAGTAGGGATTTGGGTTTCTGTTCCTAAGTCATCTGTCAGAATATAAGGGCCTGTAATGCGAGGCTTTGTGTTTGTATATATATATATATGTATATATATATATATATATATAATATTATGTAAATCTATATTTACACCCATACGTATAGGGAGAAAAATACGTTATATGAAGCTCCGCATATCATCAATGGCTGGTGCGCTGTGCATCCAGCTCCTGGACTGGAGCTTGCACCAAGGGCGGAGTTAAACAAAAAACGTTCTGTGCTCATGTGGTTCCAACCCTAAACGTTGAAAACCTTAAACCTTTCGTGGATGCTGCAGTGACCCCCTGCACGCTAAGCCATTGATGTCGTGAGCTTGTGGAAGCCATCCATCCTTCCGAAGTAATTATGCATTTCAATATTGTGGGCTTCGGCTTTACTTGAGTCTTAAGGTTAGTTGCGGCTAAAGTCTGGGGATCTGTTTGAGACTTTTACCCACACCGCAAACACATCCACTCAAGTTGAATTCTGCTTAATTTTTTTGCGCGGCGCCACTTGGTGGCATCGTTGCGCGCATCGGGAAAGCCTGAAGTTGAAAATGTGAGAGAGACCTACTGCAGGGGCCTTAATGACCAGAATAGGGTTTTGGATTCTATGATACTATATATATATAATATAAGGAGCCCCCCAAACCCTATTTTAATTATAAAGGCCCCTACATTACATGATTTGCAGAAACCACCCCAAGCCCCGAATGCTTCGACATCAGACAATGCAAATGGTTGGCATCAACAAGTAGCTATGCGGAGTTCAAGATATTCCCAGAGTCCTGGAGCTTTTCATCTAGTTCTTTAGTACCAAGGCCACGAAAATTCCTATGATGTTCATGATTATTTATGCACAGAACACTGCCATGAGCAAGTAGAACTATGGGTTCTAAAGCCCACTATTCAAATTTCCTGTCATCTTTGCTTGCACTCGACAAAAACCCTGCATGCCGTACACCTTGCGCCCTTATAGACGAGCCTACACGCTCACTCTGTTGGAGGGTTTACCTGAATGTTCCACAACCGACTTATTCCTCAATGCTATTCTCGCCGCATACATAGGATTTACAGAGACCTTCTGACAGTTTCATGCTATCTGTTGCTTTCAGGTTTGTTCTTCTGGGGCTTAGGGCTTCGAAGGCCAAACCAAGGATTCGGATGTCGAAGATTCCGTCTGCCAGCTCAGGGCTACTTTGCGCAG